GGGGGGTGTTTGGTAGGGTACGGGGGTGTTTGGTTTCACATCATGCACGGCCTTTCGATGCAAATTCCCTGAAGACTACGATGAGGGGCTGGTTATTGAGGAAACGGCATAAACAGCCTCCAAAGCCCTTATTCCCCTTGCACTGAGTTCGGAGTGGGTGGCTGGCACCAGGCTCGGTGTTCTGGAGCCGGCACAGCAGCAGCTCCATAGCAAACCTTTCTCTGGGTGGTTCTTAACCACTGTCTCATTGGGGAAATGCCAGTACTTTCAATTAGTGCTGTAGAATGAGCTGTCACTGGCATTGAAATGTAGATGTTATCAATAAGCCACAAAGCCATCTCATAGAAAAAATAGTGAGATGAATAATTTAATGCCTTGCCAACTTAAAGGGCTCAGAGTAAAATTCTATCAAAATAAACACACAATTTATAGTGTACAGATTTTTTAAAAGCAAGAGTTATATCTTTCCAAGAGGTGAGAGGGACCGTCTTTGCTCTCAGTCATCGCCAGACAATTGGGACATTTTTCTAAGCTTTCTTGTGGTAGTTCCATAATCTGTTGTCAATTTGAGAATTAAGAGTACGGGGGTAGAATTTAGCCTGTCAATCAGGTCACAGCTTGATGACCTCATTTGGAGGAGCTAAGGAGATTAATAGCTCACTGGAGGTGGGACACAGGCTCACTCCCTGCGAGACATTACTGATGAGGAGCCTGACGGAGCTACCCTGATGCAGCCCTGGGAACTGGAGGAGCCACATGGAGACCCCTGCCAGTGCTGAGATGCTTACAACGCCACCGGATCCAAAGACTTCCCACCCACTGGCCTGTGATGATCCTGCATTCGGCATCATTGCATGTGCTCCATGAGTCTGAAGAGGGCTTTATAGATTGCTATCAGACATATGGGCTAGTATTGGACTTATGGATTTGATCTGGACTGGGCTGGGATGTTTTCTCAACATTCAGTTGCTCTTGTATATAAAGCTCTTTACTCTTCACATATGCGTGTTTATGAATTTGTTTCTCTAGTCTACCTGGACTAACACTTGTTTAGCCATCTGGCAATAAGACCCAGTGAGGCTCTGGGTCACGGTGACCCTCAGAGGAGGGCGGGCTCTGCAGCCCCTGAACATGCTTCCTTCTGTCCTCACCCATTCCTGTCTGGGAGGTAAAGGCAAGGGGAGCCAGGAACACATGGCCTCCTCCTTCCCCTCCTCTTCACCCTCTGGGAAAACAGAACCAGAAGAAAAGAAAGGAAGAAAAAAGACAGAAAGAAGTCAAATGCAACAGCACTTGTAACTCTTCAGGGGAAACAGCTACACACAAGCCAGGAACTGTTTAACCGAACCCCCAAGTTTTCTCTCCTACCCCTTTGTGGTGAAGTAAAATGAATGGCTATCCATATTCCTATTACTCCCACCAAATGGTTGGGTGGGACCGTGCAAATACAGGATTCGAGCTCTGGGATTGGTCAGGCCTGCCTAATCCTCTGAGTATCTGAGAGCCATCTCAGAAGCAGGATTTTGGAAGCCACTCCCACCAGAGCAGCGGGCAGTGCGGCCGGCTGAGTGGCAGGCAGGCTGCCTGTCCCATGGAAGCAGAGGCCACAGGGCTGTGTGATTGAGCGACTGGGGGCCACAGAGAAACTTGGCTGCTGTCTGAGGAGAGGTGTTGCTGTAGACCAAAGACTAGCCTCACTGCCTGATGAAACCGACTTGTGGTAACATGTCAACTTCCCCCGCGCAGCTCGGTAGCTGTGAGTAGTGTCTGCGAGTACCGCGAACCCAGCCGAGAAGAGCGGGGCCGTGAGAGGAACGAACAGCTGCTGTCAGGCTCAAGGATGGACGCACGTCTGACCTCTGCCAAATAGCGGAGAAGCTCACACAACTTGAACATTCAGGAAGAACGTGTTCCTTCCCTAGGATCGTCATCTAGGTGAGACCCCAAAGGACAACATTTGCCCCAAACCAAAGATAAGAAGGAGCGAGAAACGGGCTGAGTAGCAATGGGAACCCTCATAGGAAATGTTGGCAAACTAGGCATTACCATCGATGACACGCAACCTGCATGTGATTGGAAAACTAGTTTGTATGTGAACTTGCCCCTAAATTTTCATAACTTCAAAACTCACTGCCACTGAGTCGATTGACTCATAGCGACCCAATAGGACAGGCTAGATCAGCCCCCAAGGATTTCCACAGTTGTCAGTTTACGAGAGTTGAAAGCCTCAAAGCCTCATCTTTCACCCAGGGAGCTGCTGGTAGTTTCAAACTGCTAACACGACACCACCAGGGCTTCTAGCCTAACAAAACTCAGAGCACCAGTTGGACAAGAAGCTATCTCCTATGACCCATCTTTGTGGTGGCATATTTTAAGAAGTGGGGATCCAAGTTCATTTCCAGATCCAGAGTCCTCTCATCACATTCCTAGGAAACAGCCAGAGGGAAACGGTAAGGCCTTGGGGCACTGGCGGGTGCAGGCCCTACAGGGGGCTGGCTCCTTTCTGCCTCAGCCTTGACCACCACAACTCAGCCTCCTCTGGTTCAGTCCCAAAACCGCCGGGCAGGAGGTTGGGGTCAGACGGTCATGGACAGAGACTAACAGCGGAGAGAACGTTCAGGGGGAACAAGTATGAAATCAAGAAGAAAATCAAGGGGATACAAGGATTCGTGGTTGGCGAAGCACCCTAAGTTCCTGAATTTATCTGGACTCTGGCTGGAAAGCACTACTGTTATCTTAAATTCTGGTTTTTTATAGCTGCAAATACTAGTTATACATTTCCCACACCCTGGCCAAATGTGTGATAAAGAGTGGTCATCACTAGTATACACGACCGAGCTCATGACGAAATAGAATTCTAAGTAGGACGTTGTGTGGCAGAGTGGATTGTTATCCTGTCTCTGAGGATCTTATATACCATGGTGGTTACAAGTGGTTAAAGTTGGTCTGCTAACTGCAAGATCGGGAGTTTGAAACCACAGGAGAAAGATCGGGCTTTCTACTCCTGTAAAGAGTTAGTCTCAGAAACTCACAGGAGCAGTGACACCTGGCCTGTAGGGTCACTATGAGCCAGCCTTGATCGATGGCAGCGAGTGCGTTTACAGCCTCGGCGGTGCATTGGTTAATTGGCAGGATGCTAACCACCAGTCCCACTGGGGAGAAAGGTGTAGCTGTGTTGTCATAAAGATCACGAACGGCCTTGGGAATCCCATAGGGCAGCTTGACGCTGTGCCAAGAGGTTGTCCCACAGGGTCACCGTGAGTCGGCATCCACTCAATGGCAGTGAGTTGGATGCATCTCACAGGATCGACTTTGGTTTTGGTTTGCCCGTTACACTGTGACTTCACAGTGCCTCCCGGTGGCCTGGGTGGAGTCTTCTCCAGTGACCGTGAGCTGGGCCCTGTCACTTAATTTGACTAATGGAATTTTAATGGACATGCTATAAGGCCTGGCTTTTATAAGGGCTTACAGAATTTGGCCTGTCATCTTGTGCCTCTACCCTTTGCTAGAAGAAAAACCTGCCCGCCCCAAGAAGCTGCTACGTAAGAGCCTTGTGTGGAGACCTGAGCCCCATCTACAACTGCCCTGCAGACAGGTGAGCGAGAAAGAAATGCTTGTCTTGTAAGATAGGGACATTTTGTAGCGATTTGTCAACTTCATGCCCATCGTTTTTTTCCCCCTGAAACTCTCCTAAATTTGCCCTACTTTGGAGGTGTCCAACTCCCGTTCCAACCTGCTCCTTTGCAGTAGTGTTTCTCTACCTTGGATGACCAACTCTAAACTTTTATCATCAATTTATTACCACCATCTATTTATTCTTAAATAGGATTACGTGCCCTAGTAGTGACTAACTTTCACCAATTCGAAAGGCTTACCATCAAGTTTATTAAGCCAGGAGGATAAAGGAACTGAGAGTCTCTATTTCTTTGGGACAATTTTGCCCCAATGCCTGGGCCAGAGAAACGTACACACTCAATTCAATGACCCTCCTGGCTTTTTAAACAAAACTCCATCCAGCATCTAATTGGGCGTTCACACCATCTGAAAAATGTGGGCGTTGATACACCGGGTGATTCCTCTACCTGAATGTTGTGTTTGCTTTGCAGTCTCAGTCTCTTCCAAGGCTCCAGACCTTTTTTCCTCAGCACCACCCTTTCATAATGTTCTTTTGCTGTTGCCTCCAACTGCTGGTTCCTCGCAATTCTCTTTTGCTTCTCTCGTTCTTTCTGGAAAGATCAAGGAGTGAAAACGCCATGACTGAAGACAAAAGCAGCAAGCAAGCAAACAAAAGCCAATGGATTTCATTCCAACAAAAAGCCAACGAATGCCTCTGAACACGTAGCCACTGCGCAGCGTGCTGGTCTTGGCCACGGAGCCCTGGAGCATGAGAAGAGAAGGGAACATTTCTGCCAAGAGGGTCAGGGACACCCTGCACAAATCCTGACGGTGGACATTCCTGGACTGACTGATTCTGCAGTATTCACAGGAAGAGGTGCCCTGGTGGCCTTGTGGAGACGAATGGGCTGCCACCAATTTGCAAGGTTGGCAGTTCGAAACCACCAGCTGCTCCCCGGGAGAAAGAGGGTTTTTTCTGCTCCTGTAAAGAGTTAGTCTTGGAAACTCCCAGGGGCAATTCTACACAGTCCTGTATAGGGGTGTGGTGAGTCAGAATTGATTGGATGTTTTTTGTTTTTTGTTTTTTAATTTTATTCACATCTAGTCAGGGGAGCAATTAGGATTATTTGCCACTCAGTGTGATGCGAACCCTGGCAAGGTAGTCCCTTTATTTTGATTATGGTGTAGAGAAATATATTTAAAGACACTCAATTAAGAGTTCATGACTAGTCTTACCACTGAGGCTGGCTTGTGTGTGTGAATGTCACATGTTTTAAAGAATGAACTGTACGCTCAGGCAAATTAAAAGTATTTGATCATCAAGGCTGTCCCTGGAGTTGCGCTAACGCACCACCTTGACTCTCAAAGGAGAACTGGACTCCTGGTGGGGCCGTGTGGTCTGTGTGTGTGTGTGTAGACGACACAAATGTAATGATCTTAGAGACAGATGAGGAGTTGTGGTCACACATGGGGCTACTAACTACAGGCCAGCCCCTCCCATAAAGAGTCACAGTCTTGGGGGCCCAGGGGTGGTTCCACCCTGTCCTTTAGGGTCGCTGTGAATCAGAATCAATCGATGGCAGTGATTGATTTGGGTCTGGTAGGCATTTTGGTGTGATACATCATTTATTTTTCTCTTTTAATGAAGATAGAAAGAAAACTCTACCTAATAGTGAGTGGTGGCAAGTGACACTTGTGATAAAAGAGAGCGCGCAAATGCAAAGACTAGGAATGGCCCAGTGCCCTTCTCTGGTTCAAAGCGTCCCTTCTTAGTGTGCTTTCTGGACAACAGAATACAGGCAGCTCTTTATTAATCAGGGAAACCCAGTCCCTCACCCACGCATGACATCTGTGAAAGTGTATCATACTTATGTTTTAAAGACACACTATTTCTTTAGGAAGCCAATTTATACCTAAACTTTATGACTTGGAATCAACTTGAACAGTTTTGTGTGTGTGTGTGTGTGTGTGTGTGTGTGTGTGTGTGTAAAAGAAACCCCCCAGTGCTTCACTTCTCTGCTTTTATTTCATAAACAATGAGATCAGACTTTGATGCAATTGGGTGGCAATTTCTGAGAGTGCTTATCTTCCAAGGGCCATTTCCTGGTCCCGAATGGTTTTCCTGTTTGGTATTGGGTTTCCTTCACGGAAGTTTGTTGCGGAAGACTAGGGGTCACGAGTGCATTCTCATTTTACCACGCTCTGGAGCGGAGGTGTCTTTCTCTAGGCCGCTCCTGGAGTTGACAGCCTTTGTCCAAGCTGAGCTGGAGGGGTGGTGGGAGCCCCTGCTCACATTGGCATGGCGTTCCCTCCTTGCTCCAGCTCGCCTGCAGCCCTGGCTGTGGATGTCGCGTGCAAAGTCTGACGGATATGAAACGGCCCCTGAGGGGGGTAAACTCCCACTCAACCACCTTTCTAAGGGTGCCAGGCTGGCAGAGAGGTGCTGCAGTGCTCAATAATCACGTGGCCACACTGAGATTTCCAAAGGGAGCCATCGCTGGTTCTTAAAACCAAAATTCCTGGACACTTCCCGCTTAGAGGACTCCATGGAGCTAGCACAGAACACCCGGCTAGCCCCCATCAATGCACCCCGGCCCTCGCTATCGTAATCTTTAAAGAAAAGGGAACCCAAGCCCTAAGCGGGGGTGACTTTTACTGAATGCCGGGAGGGTACATGTGTGTGGAGGGAATGAGCAGGCATGTCGAGGTAGCAGGGGAGCCAGGCTATTCCCGGGGCGGCGTCCGCATCCCGGGTACCATGAGCCCATCAGTACCTTTCCTTCACCCCAAGCAGGAGCCCATCTCTCTCCTCTGCCACCCCCGCCCTACACCGTCAAGGAGTCTTCTTGCCAGTGATTGCTGTTACAGTGAAATCAATACAGATTTTGAATTAAAAGAAAAACCAAAAAACAGTCGCTGGCTTTACAAGGTCAGCCTGTGTTGTATACATACAAACAACCCTTTAATTTAAGCTATTGGTTTTTTTCCCCTTTAAGTCTCACAATGGCAGTTCAGGAAACGGGCAAATTGTTTGATTCTGACAAACTATTGAAAGTGCCTGAGACTTCTGTGAGGAGGGGAGACAAAAAGCAGAGAGAGAGAGAGAGAGAGAGAGAGAGAGAACCAGGCCATTGCTCAGATCTTAACAAGGGATACCACGTCAGAATTTCTGGTTCCCATTCAGCCAACGGCACATAAAATAAGACTCCCTACAGCTTTGAGAGAAAGACCAGAATCGCAGCCGTGTTAAGAAAAGCACAGGGCTACCGTAGGGTTACCAGGAGGGGAAGGAGAAGGTGGGGTAGAAAGGGGGAATGGATCACAAGGATCTACCTATAACACTCCCCCAGGGGGATGGACAACAGAAAAGTGGGTGAAGGGAGATAGCAGTCGGTGTGAGACATGAAAAAAAATTATACATTATCTGGAGTTCATAAGGGAGGGGGAAAATGAGCTGATATCAAGGGCTCAAGTAGAAAGAAAACGTATTTGAACATGATGATGGCAACATATATACAAATGTGCTTGACACCATGTATGTATGTATGTATTGTGATAAGAGCTGTATGAGCCCCCAATAAAATGATTAAGAAAAAAAAAGAAATGTAGGAACTTAAAGTAAAAAAAGAAGCTGTAATAAACTACTATAAGAAACCAAAAAAGAAAGAGAGAAAATAAAGCCCAGGGCTAAGCCCACAGTGTGGAAGGGGGGGTCACTGGTCCCTCCATCCAAACGGCTTGTGTCCATACATGAGCCTCCAAATGAAAGGCCCGTATTCTGTAACCATTCCACCAAAGCTGCCTTTCATCATTTTACTCCAAATACTCAATAGCTACTTGTTGAGCTGAATGGCCAAAGAAACTGTGTACAACAGTTTTCCCAGCAGTAGCAGGAGGAAGTGAAGGGCTAAGGAGAGAGAAAAGAACCTGGCGTCCCCACGTGCACAGAAAAGGCCCTGTAGCATCCGCTGTAAAGCAGGCAGGAAACCAATACAGACCTGAAACACCAACGGCCACCAAGGCGAGTCTGACTTCTGGTGGTCTTGCAGGACAGAACTGCCCCTGTGGGTTTCCAAGACTAACTCTTCTCAGCAGTAGGAAATCTCTTCTGCAGAATGGCTGGTGGTTTTGAACTGCTCACCTTGCGGTTGGCAGCCACCAGGGCTCCGTATACAGACTCAAGCTCAGCCAAAAAAGTCCTGTTCAAATGCACCCAGAAATAACGCCGGTGTAACTGTCCTTATAGAGCTCTTTGGAGTCTAGATACCAAAAAGAAAACTTGTTTGGTTTTTTTGAGGATGGTGAGGGAAAGTAGGTTTTCTCAAGGTCTACTTTTCCTTGGAAAAATAGAAAAAGAACAACCATTTACTCAAGTAGAGTTCTATTTCAGCCAAAGCATTATACTGTTACATAACAAAGTAGTTAGAATTCATCAGTGAATTTCTTCACTCAATAAGAGAGTCCTCAGTATGGCTGAAGATATTTCCGAAATGGTTGCATATTTTCTATTTCCTTGTCTATAAAACGGGGATAATGAAATGTGCACCCAGGATTTGCCATAGAAGGAACCTGGGATGAGAGCTCTTTTTTTTGCAGCTGGGGTTTCTCAGAGCATATTTGACTAGGCTAAAGAGGGATATGAAGTCAGGGTTTCTGGGTCCAATTCAGCCAGAGGCACATAAAATAAGACTCGCTGCTGCTTGGAGATAGACCAGGACTAGAGCTGGGTTCAGACAAGCACAGGGCTGAGCCCATAGTGTCCCAAGGTCAAGCCTCTATTTTCATTTTTTTCCAAAGGAGCTTCCCAGGAAGCCAAAGAAGAAGAAGCCTCTTTAGCATGACTGAAGGGAAATCACCCAACTATGTTGACATGCTCATCTTTAAAAAAAGGCAACTACCAACAAAAAATTCTTGGCTTGATCCCCTGTGACCCACTCCCTTCTTGAAAATGTCTGTGCTCGTGTGGGGTCTGTGTCCTCCCCTCCGAGTCTCTCCGTAGCCCACCAGAGTAGGACTCCCTTCTCACCACTCCACCAGAAGCACTCTTGCCAAGGACAGGTGTGATCCCCATGGCGCCAAGTGAAGAGAGTCACTTGTCTGCCGTCTCCAGCAGCGTGAAGCAGGGTGAACCACTCCCACCCTGCTGAATAGCCTTTTCTCAAAGCTGCTTGACTCCACACGCTCTGTCTCCCGCTACCTCCCGGCTCCTCGTATGCTAATTATACACATCCCCTAGGGCTGACTCCTGGACCCTCACCTTCTTTATCTAGCCAGGTTCTCAAGTCAATGCCATCCACTTATAGCTTACTAAAAAGACTGACATGACGTTGACTCCTGAATTCCTTACTATAGGCTCAAGTTCAGGCTTACATACTGCACTGTCCATTTGATATGCACGTTCAGATGTGTAATAGGCATCCCGCACTGAACCTGCTTCGAGTGATCCTTTCGAATGCCTCCACAACATCTAGCAGCTCAAGTACTACCCCCTTAGAGAAGCATTTCTCATCTGCTTCCCTTATTGTGCCTCTCCTTCTGGGCTGCGATCCAACAAGGTCGGGAGTTCGAAACCAGCAGCCACTCTGCGGGAGAAAGACGAGGCACGAGTTGC